TTGTTCTGTCACCTCGAGCAACCAGCCATGCGTTGACCTGCATGTCCTGTTGCTGTAGTGACCACAGACTGTGTTTGGTGCATTGTGAATTTATTTTGTATTGACCTGTGCACATACTGATCAATAACTGTCAATAGCCAGGACTGTACTCAGAATCAATTGATTTAATTGGATATTTGATACACTTAATCATTGTATAGTAATCTGATAAATTCTCCAGCAACGCTTGTTATTTTTTGCAGCTTTGTTTTTGATCAGTTTCTGTAGTGTTCTGTTTGGTGTCATTATTATTTGATCAAATTGTTTGGGTAGTGAGCGTGGGCATCTATGTGTACATATGTGTCCGTGTTACACTGTTAGTGTGTAATGCAGGAGTGCATAATCCTTGTTGAACTGGTGAGAGGTTTGCCAGAGATTAACACAGTGGACTAGTGGAGACATGTAGAATAGCACTACAGTTTACTGCAAAAAAAAATGGTAGTATAATTATTTGCAACATATAATGATAGTATGCCATGTTGGACACTCGGCCATGAAATGATTATGCATTAGAGCTCAGAGAAGTTCAAATATGGCTATAAAGCGGTCCAAATGGCACATTCAGGTTAGAATAGAAAATACCATAAATCTGAGTTTTATGACTTAAGCACAATATTTTTGGAGCAAGCATGCATTTGTTGAGCTATACTCTGAAAGGCTGAGTTTTATATTCCTGGATTCTGATTTGTTACACTGTTTGATGTGGCACTTTAGTTTTTTGCTCCTTTTTTCTCTTTTTGGTCTCTTGTACATCTCCTATCACTGCTTTTGTGGTGTTTTCCCTTCACTACACCCCTCTTCCTCCTCCGGTCCCCTTTCTTCCCTCTTCTTATTTCCTTATTTCTCTGTCAAATTCTTTCTTCACCTCTCTCCATCCCAACCTCCTCTTTCTAGCTCGTGTTTTGAGGTAAAGGGTATGTGGTTATGGTGGAAAAACAAGTGCCTCTTGCTTATTGGAGAACAGCCTTCAACTATAGGAATTCTGGGAGAAATGTAACAAAGAGAGAATCAAGGATATCTTTGGTTTGAGGTCAATTAAATCCTCCACAAACCCCCAACCTTTACCAAAGAGTCGAACATGTGTAGCTGCTGTCTACCCAGTGTTTGGATGCACTGTCACACGGCAGCACACATTATAAATAAAGGATTCTGTTTCTATTTCTAGAAAAACCTTTACATAACAAATCCTTGTGGATACCTACCACTGCACCTTCAACATTAAAATGATCACCCAGAATTTCTATACTGCAAATGCCAGAGAATAATGCATGTTGGTAGTAGTGTTTGCTTGCCGTGATCCAAGGCACTAGAGTGCAGCACATGCTCATTATAAGGTCACACACATATTGCGCTTCACAATAGCACCCACACATTCATACCTGCAGACACACACCTTCAATCACACATAACACAAATAACGGTTATCCACTGTATTGAATTGCATGATCCAGACACTGTGTGTGTATGTGTTAAAGCACCATGATTTATTTATTGCTGTTGAAAGACAGAGCTTTACAACTGTGAATGATGCCTTCTTGATTTAACTCACCGACGTGTAACAGAGACGAGCTAGGAGCCCCCGAAAAGGTGCAGTTTGCTGCCAGAAGTCATGCCTAAAAGAGTTTTGTTTGACGGGAGGAGCATGTTTGACAAGATGTAAAGATCAGACAGAAACATGGGAGCTTCAGTGTATTTATAACTGCTCTCTAACATATCCTCCCCCTTCTCTGTCCCTCCCTCCTTGTTTATGTATCACTCCCTCTACCCCACCACTTTCCGTCCCTCTCACAGGTGACCTTTCAGAGTCCAGCCGAGGTGGAATCCCAGGGTTCATAGTGCTTTCAGACTGTCTGCTACCTTTGAGCGTCCGGGGAGTGCAGCCACACACACTGACACACACTCACACGACTACACATGCGCTATTAACTCTGAACCTCGAACGGTGGAAGGCTCATTTACAAATGTACATAAAGTGCACAAACACACACACACTCACATACACACACACACGCCTGCAGACACTCAGACAAACACACATGGTTCACACGAGTCAGTAATTTCACCCATACAGCCAAGAGCTTGGTTTGACCACGGTCTGTGTGGAGTTTGCCAACAGGGTGTTAAGTACAGAAAGGCAACTCAGACCGAGCACGTATGGAAGTGTACTGATAAAAAAATGCTGATATATCACTACAATAGACTTTAACATGTCTATACCATGTCTAATCCATGACAAATATAGAGGGGCTGATGTTTCTTAATAAAAAAAAAGAAATAAAATAAAAAAGACAACTAAATGAGTAGGTTAGAGAGACTTTGGAGAAAATCCTAATGACCTGTAAATAATTTAGTTTACAAAGAGCTGCATTTAAAAAAAACAAGGAAAAAATGCAAAAAGAATACTACTTTAGATAAACACTGAACAGGACACAGCGACATTATTATTTATTATTATTGTTATTATTATCATTATTATTACCACTAGTAACATCATCATCCTCATAAAGGGATATTACATTCCAAATTGTAAAATGGGAAATCACTAACCTATTTTAAATTTATACTTAGATTTTAGGTGAAAATTCGGGGGAGGGGGGATCGCACTTTTATTCCGGAGGTTTTAATATTTGAGCTATTTTTTATTTATTTACTAATTTATCAATTATTTTGTTTATTGGGAGATGGGGTTTGAATGGGTTGCAATATTTTGATTTTAGAATTTTCTAGAGAAAACTTTTTGAGGGCCTGTTTCTGTCAGACTCTTGCAATCGAGTAATTATAATGTATGTATTAATTATTACAGCAATTATATTTATTTCTTATTTATTGAATCCTGTTTTTGATCCACTCTCTTTTTAAGTTAAAATAAAAAAGTATCATACTAAATTATCCATTGTGATTTGTAAAGTGTGTATGTGTTTGTGTTTGTCATACATTTTTAATGATTTATTTTACACACATATCTTCGTTGGAAAGATTCAACACCCAAGTGCCACCGAAATGAGCGCACATCTGTCTTCTGACCATAAGGGGGCGCAAGTAGAGAGCATGTAACCTGAGAATGACAGACACCATAATAAGCTGTTGTGCCAAGTGTGTTATCTCCTTTATTCGTTTATGGGAGTAGGCTACTTAATTATCAGCAGGATTAAATGCTGTTTTCGTTTTATCATCTAAGATGGTTCCAGTAAACTCTTCAAACGTATTTCCCTTGATTTACCAGAAGAGAAAACATTCAAGGGCTTAAGCAAATGTATTAGTGAAGATGTGATAATTAATGAACACATAAAACAGTTTCAGCCCTGTGCTTATTTTTAATGGCTAGACTCTTTAAACCAATGTTAAAAAGTGAAACGTGGAGTTTGTTACTGTTTCATAAAGAACAAGAACAGAGTTCCATACACATATTTGAATAAGGTGTTGTCAACTGGAGGTGTGTAAGCCCAGCCTTTCATCTATTGTAAGAATAATAGGTGGGTTTTAAGATGAGGTCCTTAAATCAATACCACAACGTGAAAGTGAAAAACAAGTCTTACACTTCTAGCTGTAAAAGCCTGTACCAGCACATTATTTATATATTGAGTGCCACAGTGACCTATCTATCAATCAGATTTATGATTCGAAAATTATAAAAGTAGGGTAGACATGTGGATATTATCCGGCTGAACAAAACGTGATCTGTCTCTTCAATTTGTGTCAACCACAGACCTTATCTCGAGCTATTTTTCCAAAATCCTATGGAGAAATTGCATTGGTTTTTGTCGAAGGAACCAGAAGTTGTAAAATGCTAACTTACTTCCGGGTTTGTGGAACCAATGTGCACATCTTTATCCTGCATATTTTAAAGTTTAATGCCAGAAACTGTTTTCTTCACATCCTAAAGATGCCCTTTGTGAGAGTTAATAGGTGGTTTCAAGTAAAATACTATAATGACAAAATGTTCATAAATGACAACAGTTGGTAATATAAAAAAAAGAATGTTGAACCCCTGGCTGCCAAAGTCATACAAAAACTCCTATGAACCTGCTGGCGTCTGGCAAATCAATTCCTTATCCTACTTTATAAACACACTGTGAACTAATGATTTTCTAGTTGTATATCTTATTGTTTACTTTATTTGTGTTATAGGCCTACTTTAGTGGGACCTGTTTTAAATTGTGAAAAACCTTTTGAATTATCTTTTAAAATGTGCTTGTGAATGATATTTTTTTTTATTAATTATTACTAAGGCCACATGAGTAAAGCTCACTGATCTTGAGCATGTGAATCTGTTCAAAGTGTCACTATCTGGGTTGAGCTCGAGGTTGGTGAGACTTTCTGTCATTGTGTACTGCGTGTCAACCTTTAACCAGTTCCATGCTTTTTTTTATATATATAGTTCATGGGTCACAAGGATAGCAGATAACCTTCCTCCTACCCCCTTTGAAACCCTGCTTTGGCTGAAAAACCTGCAGATGCAATGCAAACAGCAGAAAGAAAACACACTGCCATGTGAAAGCAAATATTTAGAATACCTTTGTTTGTGTATTTTAAAATGTTTAGTCACATTGTGACAAGCATATGAACTATTAAATGGGGAAAAGGTTGACAATTACAAAAAAATAAATTGGTAAAGAAATAGTATGTTATACATTCAGCTGAGTCACAGTCAGTGGCTGCAACAGTAGATAATGCTACGTTTGCAACAAGCAGTTCAAAGGTCAGCTTCGGTGAAATGCAGTGACCCGTGATAAAAATGTGATCATCCGTAAAAAATATTAAATAACGTGAAAAAAGGATTGTTTCAAATACATGTTTGCTATCCATTATCCTATAGAATAAAAAATTAGCGGGAGGGGGGGGGGGGATAAAACGGGGGTAAAAACGAGCCGAAACAAAATGCGGATATGCGTGCGTGTGTAAGCCAAATGCTCTCATGTGCTTTGGACGTCATCTGCGTCCCTCCCTCTCCGTTATCCCCCCTCACTCACTCCTCCCTCCGTCTGCTCCTCTCACTCCGCTCCTCTCGTGCCGGCCCGTCCTCCACCTCTGCCCGGCCACACTCCCACGCAGACCCTGCCGACTACCGGAGACCAGCACGGGACAAAGAGCTGGGTCACGACGAGAGAAAAACAGCCTGGCAGAAAAATATCGGGTCGCAGTTTTTTAAAGCAGCATCTCACTCATCGTCCCATCTGTAGACACTTTTTCTAGTTGTAACCGTAGTCAGTGTTTTGTTTAAAAGGAACAACTTTGTACGCCATGGAAAGATGTAAAAATCTGTCCGGGTAGTAAAGTTGGACACAAACTGCGCCTTTCTGCGGAGCACAAGCAGCGGGCTGGGCTCACTCTCAGGACCGTTAGGTTTCTAGCTAGCTAGCTGGGTGGGACCCTGACGACTTCGTGGAAAAATACACTACTTTTTTCTTAATTGTGAGCCCTGTTTCACGCTTCACTACGGGGGAAAACACCAAAGTAAGTACCGTTTCACTTTCATGTGGGAAAGTAATGATAGACTCTATTATTCGTTAATGTGACGCTGCGCATCCTTACCCACGTCATTACGCATTCATGTAGTTGATTAATTAAACATAACAAACAAACCTCTATGGTTGTTTTTTTATGGCAAAAACGTATTCATTGTGTTGTATAGCTGCAACTATATGATGGTAGCCTAAGTTAATTACGTTTGTTGTATAATATGAAGACATGGGGGGAGTCTGGCGCATGGCCCAGACTGAGGTGGGTCGCTTTTAAGTTTGCTAACTAGCAGCAGATGATGTCCCATTATCACTGTAACTACATGCTACAGATACAATACAATGAATTACAGGCATACATAGCCTATACAGGGTGTAACCACGTGTAGGTTATCTTACTTTAAAGGACACTTTTTTGTTTACATAATAGTTACAGCGATTTTTTTCCTCCAGTTTGGAGACCCTCATGTCCTGCTATCCCTATTATGGTATTCACTTAGCTTTCACTATATCCTAGCTTAATTTATGCTAACAAGAGCACCATGCTATAATCAATTAAGTTAGGGTAGCTATAAATTCAGCCTTATGATAGATAGATAGATAAATAGCTAGAAACAGAGCATTTCAGTGTCCAACCAGAACAACTTTAGTGAACAGACACTTTAGTAGAGTAGTATTTGCTTGTGGTATTGCATATCTCAGGTATTTATAAGGGAAAAAACAGTGTGAATAATTTTAAAAAATGGTGCATAGGGCTAATATAGCCAGATGGGAAAATTGTTGTTTCGATGGCAGCCAGATGCCATTTGCCTAAACCATTATGCACTCAAATGTATTCAAATGTATGAGATGGTAATAGGCAATATGTGAGCATGTGTTATTGAGTTTTGCATCCAGGTCAAACATGTTTATCATTGGTTGAAGTCCCACGAATGACTGACAGAAGAGCTGAAACAACAAGGAAACAACAAGTTTGATCATCCATGAATTATAATGTATTTATTAAGGATTTGAGCATTTGATGGTACCAGCCTCTCAAATAAGAGGTTTCTGCACTGGTTGCAGTCAATATTATATTTTGGATAAGGTTAGGGGTCAATTTCATAGACAGTCAAATCAATCCAATAGATAATCATTACATGAATTCATTATGAAAGTTATTGTTCCCCAGACTGCAAAAGACTCACTTACTCTCTGTGGCTGCCAATTTAAAGACAACTTGAATAATTCATTACGAAGAGAAACCCTCTTATTGCTCTTCATCCAGGTCAAACGTTAGGTTAGCCCCATAAAACCCTGTCATTCTAGAGAGAAATAAATGGTCTTGTGTGCTTAACTTTTTGGTTTATCTCTCCCTAACCTAGGTAGAAAATAACTTCAACTGAACTATAATCTGTCAATGATTACAACTTCTACTCTGAGCTCTGTTCGCTGACTAATCAGTAAGTCAGGTGAAGGTAGGAATCATTACCATTTAGAGCTTTAACTCAACAGAGAGAATAGCTTAACATATACCCAGGGGCCATCGAATGGCTCTCGGCAAGGTAGCTGTACTTACTCAAAAGGTGTAATTGACCCGACTGCAGTCAGAATCAACATGACAATATTACCTCACACCTCCTGAAAAGGCCTGTCTGCTGACTGATTGAATTTCCTCATTAATAATTCATGAGGGTCACAGATAAGTGTCAAAGGTATTGAAGACTTTCTTGTGATCTCTATCTACGAAACAGACGAATGAATAACAGCGATGAAACAGATCACCACAGACTGGCTATCTGCCCTTGGGATGATTTTACAGTACATCATTTTCTGCAATCTCTGTGTTTGTGTAACCCCAGGATTGTGTACTCTATTAAAAATGACACTGACTGTACTGTGTTCAGTCAAACAAGATCCAGAGAAAATGTCTAAAATGTGAAGGATTTGTCTGAGTCACCCTTCAAAATGACAACAGCATGACTTGAGTTACAGCTGATCGACCATTGGCAAAGAGCATGCAGCCTCCTGAACTGACACTTAATCCAACAATGTGTGCATTCAAAATGTCAGATTCTTGTCAGTATTGTGATTTGCAAACTCCATGTTTGACCATAAGACACAAAGCATGTCAGTAGAGGGAGTTGATATACTTTTAGTACTGTGCTTTTGGCTGTGAATTGTTAAGTTAAATGCAGCTGTGGGTAGTACTTTGGCTCAAGAACAACATCCCCTCAGAGACAACAAAGTACATCTAGACCTTATCATACCTATTATCAATCTATTACCTGTAAACTGCAGTTTGTGGTCACACACACACGTGAATTACATAGAAGAGGAGCTATTCCGTTTTTAGCTCAAATAGAAAGGAAGTGGCATTTGTCAGTTTAGCATGCGACAGTGCCCTTGAGAGCTGAAATACACCACATCCGGTGTTACCGTCAAGCATTTTTTTCTCTAAGCTGCAAATAATGATTACTAATATGGATTAGTTTGCCATTTATATTCTCAATGAATAATTTGATCCATTAAATACTAAAATACATCTATTTTAAAATCTCCTACAGGCCAACTGTCCATATCCAAATATATTTGGTTACTATTGCATATGACAGAAAAAAATCACTATTAGCTAAATTAAGTTTTGTAAATTGATTGCTTGACTCATTGTTTCAGCTCTTATGTCAGAGTCTGTACAAAGTCCTGAACGTTTGGAAAAGGTATAATTTTAACAGTTATGTTTTAAGTTTGTGTAATTCTATTTAATTGCCAGAATTTGTTTTGATAATCATTTCAACATTATCTGAACTCCTGCAGACCAAAAATCTTTAATATTTAAAAATGAAACAATCCCGACATTATTTATTTTTGCTTGTTATCTCCTGGTGTCTAGCTAGTTTAGCTTTAAATATTCATCACAAAATAGAATCAAAGTTTATTTTAAAGATAAATTGAAAGTCTGTGCTGTTTTGTCTCTGACTTATCAGACCCTTATAATTGAGATACAGACAACTCAGCCCTTAGCTCCCATGTTTTGCTGTGTAAGCGTTCTGTCTCCTTTAAACGTTTTGGTTTGAACGAGTCAGCTTCTAGTGAATTACTTTAAGAATGGGTGGATATGAGTAAATGGGTAGAGATGCACAAATAGATGGCATGTCATGAGTGACTCACTGCTACTTTCGTGTGGCTAATGTTCATCTTTTCGACTTAGTCTTCTATCATAATGATAAACAGAGTATTGTGGGACTGGTAGACTCCATAAGAAGTTCTTCATCCAAGTAAAGTGAATGGGATTGGCTCTCTTGGCATGGTGGCAGCATGTTTACATTCTCTAAATATTCCCAGACTCTGTACCAGGTTCCTACTGGTCTGTTTAGGTTTTACTCAGAGGCTTGCTCCCATTTTTTAAAAACTGGATTATGAGTCTATGAAGGCTTCAGGCAGAGCTGAGGAGAAACATGTCAGTAACACATGGAGCTTTGCTCTTCCAGCCTTACGTTAGATGTTTTTTTTACTAAATGACAAAATCATTTTCATATAAACTCATATTGAGGAAGACAGATGAGACAGTACTTCCTTTCCCCCTCCCCTGCCAGAGGCATCCTTTAATTTGATTGGACCTTTAAAATGGTCAGAGGCTGGTCATATGATCCTGTGGGCCAATGGAATGCATTGTTACGAAAGCTGTGGGGGGAAAAAGAGCGTTAACATGTTGAAATCACTGGATGATCTCAAGTAGAAACCCTGAAATATACTCACAAATCCTCACGGCAGCGTTCAAAATGATAAAGAAATTGTCCTGGTTTACTTGGAAGTATTGCCTTTTGGTGACTGAATTTGTGAATTCGGAGTTTGATTACCTAATTTGTTTTTAATTAGGTTATTATTAACATACGTCTATAGCACAGATAATTCAAAGCACTTTACCTGTCTACTTAACTCAGTCCTCCTGCCCTTTGAACCATCTTTTCTGCTGCTCAGAAGCTCATCAATCAATTATCTGATTTTGGTCAGATTACATTACACTGGTACCTCTGGATGTTCACAAGCTGTTCAACTGAGCTCACAAGATGTGGCAGGACACTCCAGGAAAAGCCAGATGTAATGCTACTGAAGTGGAAGAGTTGGCAAAAATAATTGGGAAAAATATGTCACCCTTTGCATCCACCACCACCTGAGTTGAGGGGGGAGAGAGAGTGAGAGAGAAAGAGAGAGAGAGAGAGGGAGAAGAGCCCAGTGCTCGGCCAGCCGTGCTGTTGCAACAGGAAACGGGGGCCATGACTAACATGACATGATGTGGAAAATAAGCAACAGACTCAAGCATGACACTGTCTCATGGACATTGTCAGAGCAGCAATAGATTATCCAAACCCAAAAGCTGTAGTCTTTTTACAGAGCTAATGAGCAATTTATATAAATATAAGACATTTGAGAAAAATGGCTGGTTATCTACAATATCTTTCTTTTTCTTTTTTTTTACTGTTAGACTCTTACATATAATCTAGCACGTTCATCTGTGTATGTTTCAACAGCATTTAACATTTTGCAACTCGATGATTCAGTGTTTAGTCTATCGACCACCAAAGAACAGTTCAGTCAAAATAAATCAACTCATTGTTTAAGATACTTTCAAAGCAAAAAGGCCACTTATAGGCCTACTGTTGATCAGTGTTTTATTAAATGTTTATTTAATTAGATTCCTTCATATCAAACTGGATACTTTGGGGGTTTGGACTGTTGGTCAGATCCCGGACATTTAAATGGCCACTTTTTGCAATTTTAATTTTTGTACAATGTTGTAGGATAACTACGGAAGAGCTAATCCTCTTAATCGGCCACATAAAAAAAAAATTGGGGGGATTTGAAAAAAATATGTTTTCAGAATTCTGACTTTAATCTCAGAATTCTGACTTTAATCTCAGAATTCTGACTTTTTCCTCAGAACAAAACAAAAAAAATAGTTTTGGGAGAAAAAAGTCAGAATTCTGAGATTAAAGTCAGAATTCTGAGATTAGAAAAAAAAAACCTTCTTTTTTCAAATCCTCCCAAAAAAAAAATTATGTGGCCCTAATCCTCTTCCGTAGATAACAGTTTAAATTGGGTAATGAATAATATTGCAGCCATAAAGTCCTATAGTTAAAAGGGAAAATAACTCTGTAAAATAATCCGTGTAGTTAACTCAAAGTAAAGTGTATTCGTTTTGTTAATCTTATTTAATGTTCATTAATCTAATCTTTGTTTAAAAGTCCTTGTCAAAGTTGTTTAACCATACCGCTCCCCTCCCTCCAAGTCAAGAGCCAGAGTTCTTTACATCCGAGTCTTATTTCAGCAGCATATTTTAAAGATGATGGAGGGAGGGGGAGCATACCACATGGCTTTAGGAACCCTTGATTACTGGCTGGGAGCAGCAGGGCGGGGATGGGAGTGGAAGTGAAGTGGTTACAGGGCTCAGGCTCTAACAGCGGGTGGGAGGGGAGTTAGTGTAGATCTGCTAGGGGACTCCAGAGATGGAGTGTGTGGGGGCGTCCCCGCTGCTCAGCACACATGGATGGACTGTGACTCACATCCCTCAGATGCTAGTTCTCTTTTACTCTCGTTCTCTGCCACTCCCTGAACTCAGCAGCAGAAACATTCATCTCTGAACTATTTGAATACAATTAAAAGTCTCGCAGCTGCTGTCATCTCTTTAGGAAAGCGCCGGTGTTGAAAGCACCAAGTTCAGTTGTTGGTCTGATTTCTCCTCCCTGACGTGAGCCTCCTGAACTGAGTTCCCTGAATGCAGCTTGAGCTCTGTGTTATATGCATTAGGAAAAAAAACCTACAGGAAGGCTTCCAATGAGAGGGAAATTCTGGTGCCATCATCTAATTCTTCTAATTACATGGGAGCAAACATTCACAATGGCAGATGTCTTCCCCTACACTACAGACTTCCCCTTTACACAGCCAGGCCTGTCTCGCTGCTGCCTAAAACATAAAGCCCCTAAAGCAAGCCCCTATTGATTAGATTTAAGGTGGTGCCATATTTTTTAGGGTGTGGTCTCTACCTCTTGAACATGTGTATCTATGGTTTTGGGGCCTTTAGCTGTACAGCCTAATAAGCCTGTAGAGTTGTTGCTAACTGCTTGTGTTTCCGCCTGTGTTGCAGGATGCTGTCGGGGCTGAGCGACTGGTTCTGGCAGGAGCAGCTGTGGTTTCCAAAGGGCCTGGGCTGGGCTGACCTGGAGGATCGGGATGGAAGAGTCTACGCAAAAACCCAAGACTTGTGGGTGGCAATACCCATCGCCCTTGTATTCCTCATTATCCGCCAGATCTTTGAAAGGTCAGTACGTTTTTCACACTGCATTACTGGATATCTGTGAGCCTCATCTACTTTTTGGGTTATTAACTCAAACAGTTGCTTCTATATTTTCACATCATTTTCTGTCCAGTCTACTTTTTCTTTCTTCTCTTGATTGCTGCCTCCTGCTCCTTCTTTCTCTGCCCTTTGGTTATTTCATACTCAAATAAAGACATCTTCATTAACAAAAATTAGCTGGATGTAAAATATCATTCAACATTTCATAACAATATGTATTTCTACAATATACAAGTCGATCTCAAACATTTCTTACAAACTCAATGTTGCTAATCGTATGAGTGCAATACTCCCACATTGCAACATCTTTTAAATGTTTTATTTTGTAAATAAATCGTGCCTGCCGCTCTGTTCCCTCGTGCCGGGTCGTGTTGCGTCGGCTGTTGCTCGGCAGCTGGGCATGCCAGCTTTGTCAGAGTCCAACCTCTTAAAACTAGAACAGCACTTAACCAGCGCCAAAATGATGAAATACTGCAGATAAACATCCATCTGACTCTGCAATCAGCTCAAATTTCAGTTTGTTGTTCCATGTTGATACCTGTCTTTCTCTTCATTTCATCTCCTTTTTAATCCTAATTCTTGACAACCTTCTTGTGATTGCAGAACGGTGGCTACACCTCTAGCTTCTCTGCTCGGGGTGAAAGAGACAGTGCGGCTCCAAGTCCCTCACAACCCCACACTGGAGTCCTACTATTGTAACATTACCAAAAACCCCAAACAGGTACATGTTTGCACTCACCTGTACACACTTAGAAATGCTGTGTGGGTTTTTAGAACATTAAATACTTAATTAAGGCCTTTGTGCTGTTTTCAGACGGCAATAGCAAGTCTTTGCAAGCAGACCAGCTTTTCAGAAAGACAAGTGCAGAGGTGGTTCAGGAGACGAAGGAACCAGGACAGACCCAGTTTGCTCAAAAGGTTTCGAGAAGCCAGGTAATCACACACACACACACACACACACACACACACACACACACACACACACACACAATGATACAAAATACTTAACAAGTGGCTAAATGAGAAATGTAAAAATTCGAAGAAGTGTTTATTTGTAAATATATTATTTTTCAGAATAAACCATATATCATTCAAATGTGTGTGCCACAGAGCTTATTTCCTTCCATAATCCAAAATCCAATAGAAAAATCCCATTGGCTCCCTTTCAAGATAATCAGGGTGCTGCTTACTTGTGGGTTGGCCTTCACAAATATGTCCTCCGTGCAGCACTTAGTGCACACGTGTCTGTAGAGCTAGGGAGCAGGTTGAAACAGCTGCCTACCCTTGCGTTCCTCTGACTATATGAGCACATTTCCAAGGGCAAAAGTAGCCCTCTATTTTTAACATGCACATTACAATGCCACTCAGATGGTAGCATGCCTGTAGCCCCCCCCCCACTCTTCACTCATTAGCACAGGGTCTCTGCAACAGGGGGCCGTGTCAACACTGTTGGTTATTTTGATGTGTGAGTATAGGCAGAGTTAAACCAACAGTATCATTAGCTGATAAAACAAGGCTACTGAACTTAGGTAGCATTAGCTGGCAGGATTCACCCCGTGGCAACATATGACACTTTATCTTATCTTTAGGAGTGCCATTAACAGCAGCAGATAGCATCACTAGGATTGACACATGGACGTTTAGTAATATGCATGTACACTGTCCTAGATGTGTTGCATAACTCATTTGTAGTGTCGTCAACATTAGCTTCATTGTCATCGTTCGTGTGTGTCGACAGATCCATACAACTTTTTAAATGTGACTTAAAGGATCGTTTCACCAGAAGTACAAGAAGACACAGTCCTCTTTGTGAGCAGTTTTCCCTTGAACAAAGGAAATGGTTCCACAATTTTTGGGGGGGAAACAGCAGAAGTGCCTGAGCACTTTAACATGTAGAAAAATATTTTAACAATCATTTAAAGTACAAAATATAACAAGAATCCTGTTAGATTATGATTTCAACAAGAAAGAAAATATCAGAATTGAACACTAATGCTTGAATGGATGTAGCCTGAGAGATAAAACAATATAATCATCAGAGCAGCAAATTCAATTCGAGTTTTTATAATTTTGGTGAACTTTCAATCAACTCTGCAAGAACAGGAATTAGACTGGTGTGTGTATGCCTCTGCTGTATGATGAGAGCATGAAAGGTGATATTCCAGAAGATTTATCTTCTGCATATGATGCTTATGTGCAGCCGTGCATGTGACTGCATGTTGCTTCCCGGTTATAGTGTGTCTATCCCTGTGCGTGTTACAACATTTCTCTTCTGAATCAATCTGTTGTTTGTGTGCACACAACAGGCTTCCTGTTGTTCCCCCTTATGTCTCCAGACTGGTGTAACTCACTCACTCCGAACGTCTCTATGTTCACTTCTCGGTTCATGTTTTTCTCTGTCTGTTTGTCTCTGCTGCTGTGTGTCCTCTTTGAAATCCCCTCTTTACACCTGTATGAGAGCTGCTCTGTCTCGCTGTAGGGGGATACTGTCTGTCAGCACGTGTTTGGCTCAGTGTGTGTGTACGGTGTGTATGTGTATGTAGTATGTATGGTGTGTATGTGTGTGTCCTGATTTGACATTCTCAGTGCAGTTCACCAGATTTTTCCTGGCTGTTCATTCAGCCCAGCATTTCTTTCCAGCTGGCACTCTTGTGCGGTTGCCACTGTGTGTTTGTGATGTGTTTTTGTGTCTGCTGGTAGAAAATGTGTCTTGTGTCTTTTCACCATTGACTGAGTAGAAGGTGTGTCTGTATGTGTGTGTGTTCTCTTGCAGTTGGAGATTTACCTTTTACCTTCTTGCTTTCATTGCTGGCCTGGCCGCCCTCATCGATGTGAGTACCACCATGTTAACCCTGACCCCTCCTCTTCCTCTCATTTCCTCATGTTCACACGATCATTTGTCGACTGCTCTGCCAGTGTTACATGACAGTTTCCATGGTAGTCCGTCTTTTTGCTGTGATAACTTCTCCTTTTGCACTGTCAGAGGGCTTCACTTATGGCCATGCTGAGTCAGTTATTATAAATACACCTGCCGGGCATGCTGTCTCATTCTCATGGCTTCTCTCCCTCCAGAAACCCTGGCTGTATGACCTGAAGGAGATGTGGCAAGGCTTTCCTGTGCTGGTAAGTTTTTGGGATGGATACACTGAATGTACACCAGTGTCTGTCTGCAAATAAAAGGCATTAAATAAGATATCAAATAGTCTGCTTCAAAGAATACTATATCTACCCAATCAAATGTATTTTATATATGACTGTTGGCTTTTGGGAGACATCACACATCTATAAACTACAAGTCTGTCAGGTGCAACGTCGGGCTGCAACTACTGTATTTATCTATACATTTGCAGATTATTTTTTAGATCTAGACGTTTGGTCCAATAAAAAAGGGAGAAATGTCCATCCCAGTTTCTCTGAATAAAGGCTCTTTAAATGTCTTGTTTTGTCAGTCTGAAGCTCAAAGATATCCAGTTAAATATTATATCAAACAGAGTAAAGCTGGAAATCTCCATATTTAAAAAACCGAAAACAGCATTTTGATTAATTATATAACTTTAAATTATTATTTTTGACTGCTGGGATGTACTGAAAAAATACAGAGCTCCAGATAGAGCTGACATGATTAGTATTTGTCTTTGCCTTCTATGATCATTAATATATATTTGAGCCTTTGTCCCACAATACAAGCAATCTTACCTGGGCTTTAAGAACTTGTTATAGACATTTTCAGCTAATTTCTGACATTTTTGTAGACTGAACTAATAAGTGAAAGATCAAGAGAATAATCATAATAAGATAAGTTATTAAAAGTGATGATAGTGGTTAGTTGCAGCTTCTTTCCCAATATGCATTTCCAAACATTTGGACTACCTATGTTGTAAATGTATTATCTTTTCAATTTACACACGGCATCTATTGCACGTCTGTCCGTCCTGGGAGAGGGATCCCTCCTCTGTTGCTCTCCCTGAGGTTTCTCCCATGTTCCCCTTTAAACTGTGGGTTTTCTCTGGAAGTTTTTCCTTGTACGATGTGAGGGTCTAAGGACAGAGGGTGTCGTATTGTCATACTGATATTCTACACAAACTGTGAAGACCACTGAGACAAATGTAACATTTATGATATTGGGCTATATAAATAAACATTGATTGATTGATTGATTGATTGATTGATTGATTGATTGATTGAATGTGCTCTGTTTCCTCTCCTACAGACTCTTCTACCCTCTCAGTATTGGTACTACATGATTGAGCTGGGTTTCTACGGCTCTCTGCTCGTCAGTGTGGCTTCTGATGTCAAACGCAAAGTAAGTCATGTATATCTTCTCCTCCGTAGTTCCAGTGCTAGAATGCATATAACTGCATTAACTCAAGTACTGTACTTAAGTACAACTTTGAGGTACTTATATTTCCATTTTATGCAACTCATTCATTCTGCTCCACTTCATCTCAAAGGGTCATATTGTACTTTTTACCCCACATTTGTCTGTAAACATTTAGACCCATTTAGGTTATTAATAGAAAATATAGAAAAGTAATTGAATTATGATATAGTATTACAAGTTAAGCCTTCCAGTAGTAAAACAGCTTCTCTTTTACCAGCTGCAACAATAAAGTGATTAATCAATGAATGCATTATGAACAGAAGTGCAGTAATATGTATGAAAAAGTACATTTAATTATTTTTAGGTACTATATTTTGATGATAGTACTTAGCAAATAACTGTTCTCATAAACGTAGTATTGCACTTTTAGACGTTTATGACATTAAGATAAGTGGAAAAGAGAGGAACTCAAAGTCTTTTCTTACTATCTGATCAGTTTGACATCTAGCATGGACTGTTGGCAGGACATTAGACCGTTGTTACACGTGTGTGTGTGTGTGTGTGTGTGTGTGTGTGTGTGTGTGTGTGTGTGTGTGTGTGTGTGTGTGTAATTGTTTGGACTTTGCTCAGCTGCGATCAGCTGAGCGCAGCGGTGGGGAAATCTTGCAAAAGAAGAACAATGTGTTTCTTCAACACATTATTCTAACCTAGAATCCTTAAGCAGGATTTACCACTTCAAACCAACAAAAAAATCATGCAAACTAAAATATATATACTTCCAGTTTGGGGTGTTGTGATGTACTAATATTGATTGAATATTGAGGAAATTGAATATCATACAGTATAAATATAACATATATGATAATATTGTGTTTACAATGCAGCGCCTCTTAAATGATTTTCATTTTGTTTCCCTCCCACAACGCCCCACACACAAATGAGTGAATGAAATTTGCCAAATTAACAAAAAACACAACAAAGTAAAAGATGAAAGCGGCTGAAAGCCTCTTTCTTTTCTCTATTTAACAACCATTTCTCCCGTCTCTGTAGGACTTCAAGGAGCAGATCGTTCACCATGTGGCGACAATCCTCCTCATCAGCTTCTCCTGGTGTGTTAACTATATCCGTGCTGGAACTCTCATCATGCTGGTTCACGACTCCTCTGATTATTTCCTTGAGGTAAATGTATTTCTATTATATATCATAGATGCTCATGCATTCATAGTGGTTTGGTTTACATGTGAATAATCACCTCATCATAGTTGTGGGAGTGACATTTGTCCCTATCAAAAAGAAAAGCAGTTTAGATTGTTAACATTCATTTTTTGAAGACTTGTCCACACGAGTCGCCGAATGGAAAACACTGCCACCCTGTGGAGGAAACTTCACTTTGTCTTGTCATGTTACCTTGATCAAGTTGAATCGGGGTAACATCTGCCATTTACATTGCTCAACCTTTCCTTTATCCCTCTTGACAGTCTGCAAAGATGTTCAACTATGCTGGGTGGCGAAATGCTTGTAACTACATCTTCATCGTATTTGCTGCAGTCTTCATTATCAGTCGACTGGTCATCTTCCCTTTCTGGTACACTCACACGTTTCAAACATTTGTTTCTATGTGTTATCCTAATTTAAATATGTATGTTATTTAAGCAATCTATTCCTACTCTGTCTTCTGCAGGATTATTTACTGTACGTGGATTTACCCAGTGACCATGTATGAACCCTTCTTCGGCTACTACTTTTTCAACGGACTTCTGATGGTTCTGCAGTGTCTTCATATCTTCTGGGCGGTGCTCATCATACGCATGGCAATCCGCTTCCTCACCCACAATGTAAGCCAACAAAGAAACATAAAGCAACGATGTAACATCCAAAAATATCTGAAACTTACATCTCCGTAAATAAAGATATAAGACAAACAAAAGTTTGTCTTATATCAAGTTCAGCTCACTAAAGGTCTCCAGGTAAAACATTTTAAACAACAAACCGTTTTGAAGTTGAAATAAAGATCCTCTAAGATATTGAAGTTTTAGTGTAAGCTCTGAGGGAGGTGAAAGTGCTCACAGTGGTTGAGAAGTTAAGAGTTAAATTAAGCTGGAATAGTCAGTGTAAGCGAAAGTTGTTAAATATAGAGAAACGGGAAAAAGAATCTTAGTGTAAAGACTTGACACCTAAAATGTGCTGAAGATGTATTTCAAGTGTAAGCTGTGAAACAAGGTGCAGTTATAGATGAAGTGTTATCACAGAGAGGATATGAGCTCACAGTTAAAGCATTGCACTCTCTAGTTGTACTTCTTTCACATTTTAATGTTACGATTGTCATTTTGAGATTTCATTTCATTTGAAAGTCTGTAGTGGTGTAAGTGTATCTTTTTATATCGATGATCATAAAGATCTGCGGTTTGAAGGTACAATTAGTTGTTAACTGGAGAGTGCCTGAGGTCCACACCAGCATGTGTTCATTATCAAACCTTAAGTCTTCAAAACAAACCGATGCTAACACAAGTGACGTTGATGCAATTAATCAGATACATACATGCAGACCCTTTATAAAAGGCACAACATGCTTAATGAAAATGGATAGGTTCCCCTTTAGTGTTTCCAAGAAATATTATTTTAGATCCCGTGGTCGTATCTCTTTCTGTTTTCCTCAGAGCTACCAACATCACAGGACACACAATTCATTTGTTTCCAAACAAACTTAACAATGGAGACATTGATAACATAGTATCTGTCCTTTGGTTTTTTATATAAACAAGAACAAAAGGGACAAAATATCTTGAGCACAACCAGATGCGCACACACACACACACACACACACACACACACACACACACACACACACACACACACACACACACACACACACACACACACACACACACACACACACACACACACTTACATTTAAATAAATGCGACTGGATGGTTTGAGTTTGTCTGACACTGGCCAGAGCTCCAGTACAGTTTGAGCATTGGATTAATTACATATTCTTCCCCCTTTTTTCTTTCTTTTTCCAGGAAAAAGTGGACGATGAAAGGAGTGACAAAGATGAAACGGATGAATCAGAAGAGGAGGAAGAGCAGGCTAAAAAGGACATGAGGAAGAACGGGCCGGTGCAGAATGGTCACACAGTCCACAACAACAACCACAGCAAGATAGAGTGAAAGCAAACAAGTGTCAGGAAGAAGGAATGTGAGATGGACTCATATCCCTCAGTAGGGGAGCCAGAGGGAGGGATGGAAAGAGAGAGAGAGAAGATTGGGGGGCCAGTCATTCCCTTAAAACCAACAACAGCAGATATCCAGAGGAAAGTTGACAACACAAAAACAATCACACGTTCATTCGTACATTTAGACGACACGGAGATCCAGCCCATGATATACACTACATTAAGTGGCATGGCTTTATTTGCTTTGTCACTATTGAAAATGTATAGCTGTCAGTGTGTGTTGTCACCATTTCAAAGAGACAGGGGAGAAAACTGACAGAGGAGGGGGGTGATGCTGCTTCTACTTTAGCTTTCCTTGTTCTATGTGCCTTAGAGCCAGCTAATGGCTGTTAAAATGCCATTTTTAAAAAGCTTTCTCCTTTAATCACGCTTTGCTTTATTTCTTTCACCTCTTCTGTTTTTTAATAAAAGAAGAAAAGAGAATGAAAGTGAGACAATAGGGCATTTCCTTCCCTAATTTTCTGTCTATGCAATTACGTAAGTGTTTTCCGCTATTGCAAAGTCTTTGCACACATTTTTTTAAATACTGTAATAACTTGCAGTAGCACTGCCGTGCCTCTGCTCTCCAATGCGGCCTCTGCCATTAAAACTGCCTAGTACGTTTTAAAGAGTACATTTGGCGTCAGTTTTGTAGATAAACATCAAGAAATGTGCTTTCTTGTTTCTAATTTCTGTTCTGTATTCTTAATCCAGCATAGCTCTTTATTTGCAATTCCCTTTCTACAATTGATATCTAACCTGCAAATGTTATCATTCTTAACACTGCAATATAAATCACAGCTTCCTGCTAGTTTTGAGGAAGCTGAATATTTTGTATCCCTCTGGTTTGAAGCTGTTCAATCCAGTCTAGTTTTGAATCACGCCGATGCTGCCACCCGCTGAAGATGGATGAGGTGGGCTGAAATTCAGGAGTTTTAATAAATCTAATGAAATCGGACAGATAAGCCATTTCTAGTTTTTACAAATACGGGCCAGGTTTCTTCGATTCACTGCCTTGTAGCATGGGTTATGTTTGTGAACCTGGGTTAGAGTTTTAATTGTTGATCTAAATGAATGATTTTAGGTATGATTGTGTGTATGAAACCGGTTTTACAGGTACTGTTATTTGATGTTAAGGAGGTAAATTACATTAAAAACTATTTTTAGCAGTTAAGTGTTTGAGAATTGTGATGGATTCAATAAATGAGTGTTGCAGTTTGATTGTTATGCTTTACATGTGGCTGTACGGCAAGTGCCTTATCCGTAATGTATAAGAAGCTCTCTCTCTTGTCTTCATGTCCTCTAGTTTTCTTTCCTGTCTCCACATCATAGATCCAACTCTGAGTCTAGCATATCCTCCGCTGTCTCATCCATTGCCCACTCCTCTTCTTCATAAATGTCCTTTCTTTTAAACTCACCCTCATTCCACCGCCACATTCTTTTTTACTAACCCCGACCAACCAGAAACCTCTCGTCTCCAGGGATACAGAGGCAGCTGTGTCCCAATTACAGTGTTATTCTTTCCTTATTTTGTATTTTGTTTGTTTAATGATGCCTAAGTATTGTTATTAATAATAAAAACAAAAATCATGAATCACAGCGAAAGCCCTTGTATGTGTGCATCATGTCTGCTAACACCCTAAACATTGAACATTTCATGATCACCGACGTCATCAACAGCTCCCTTAAGGATCTTAAAACTGCCGTCATCAGACCCCTTCTCAAAAAACCCACCCTAGACCCAGATTTCCTCGCCAACTACAGGCCCATCTCCAACCTCCCATTTCTAGCCGAGGTGCTGGAAAAAGTAGTTGCCGCCCAGCTTCAGGACCATCTCCAACTAAACGGACTCTTTGAGAAATTCCAGTCCGGTTTCCGTTCTACCCACAGCACTGAAACAGTTCTGGTCAGGGTCACAAACGACCTGCTGATGGCGGCTGACACTGGTTCCCCATCCTCCTGGATCTGACTGCAGCATTCGACACTGTTGACCATAACATCCTCCTTCAGCGCCTCCAATACACCATCGGACTCTCTGACTCCGCCCTGAGCTGGTTCCAGTCCTACCTGTCTGGAAGAACAGAGTGCGTCTCCTTGGGAGGTGCGAGGTCCCAGACACACCCTGACACCTGTGGTGTCCCTCAAGGGTCGGTCCTCGGGCCCACTGTTCACCCTTTACACTCTGCCCCTTGGTCGTGTCATCATCCAGCATGGCATATCATTCCATTGCTACGCTGATGACACGCAGCTATATATAAAGACATACCCTATCCCATCACCCTTCCCATCAGCATCCTTTAACTCCTGCCTTGAGGAGATAAAGGCTTGGATGCAACAAAACTTCCTGCAGCTTAATAGCTCCAAAACAGGCTATTTTAGTTGGCACACCAAACCAGGTCCAGTCATCCCCCATGACCCACATTACCTTTTCTGGACAAAACATACCCCTTTCTGCATCAGTTACCAACCTGGGTGTAAGATTTGACCGACATCTGACCTTTGACACCCACATCAAACACCTGTACAAAACCTCCTTCTACCACCTCAGGAACATTGCAAAACTCCGTCCCACAATCTCCCTGTCAGATGCTGAACAACTGGTCCATGCCTTCGTTTCCTCAAGGCTAGTCTACTGCAACGCTCTTCTCATCGGGACTCCTAGTGGGAGCCTTCAGAAGCTCCAATACATACAGAACAGTGCTAGGATCTTGATGAGGGTGAGAAAGTACCCCCCCCCCAGGACCAAACTCCGCACAATGGGGGATCGGGCTTTCTGTGCAGCTGGTCCTCACCTGTGGAATTTCCTCCCAGACCACCTGAGGACTCCACAGACCACTGAAGCCTTTAAGAAAGGCCTAATAACCTTGCTTTTAAATAAAGCCTTTGATTAAAGTGTTGTGTCTTTTGTTTTGTTTGTTTCTATTAGGCCTCCTGTAGCACTTTGGGATTGCTTAAGTTGCGTAAGTAAGATTGTTAAGGCGCGGCTTTTTGTTGTTGTGGGGCATTTTCTCATGGTGGTATTGTTTCTTTTTAAAGTAAAATACCTGTTAGTACTTCTCCCACCACTGCCAAACACTCACATGTGCTCGCACCTCTGTAAACAGGGGTGCTTTAACTTTACAGACCTGCGTGTCCCTCCCGGCGGGGCGGCGCTTAACATGGATTTCCCAACAGTTCACGTCATGTGTATCTGGCTCGATCTCCGAGAAAAGAAAACAGAGCACACAGCTACTACTCTAACAGACTGAAACGCCATCTTGAACAGATATGGGGGTTTAAACCTAAACCGGGAGAAAACAGTAAAGAGGACATAAACTGTTATTTTCGCTTCTGTTGTAAATACCCTCGGGTCTCCCCGGAATAGATATAGTCGTCGTTTTGGGCGTTTATATCTTAAAATAAAGGCGCATACGTGAGGAAATCTGTGAGGCACTTGTTAGCCTCTACCCTGCTAGCAAGGGGGAGGGGCGGGGGTTTGGACGATTTTTTTTTTCCGCAGCCGAAGTTGTTTGTTTATGTTATTCGAAACGGACATGTCCTCTTCAAACCAAGGTAAAGTGCAATAAAAGTCACAGCGACTATTAAGTGACGTATTCATGTTCATGTGCATCTGTTTACACCGGTTATGGACGTTTATAGCTAAAGAGGAGACTTTCCTAAAGATAGCGTGACAGCATCGGCTAAGTTAGCTTAGTAGCTAAGCTAATGCCACAGCAAGGCTAGCTGGTTATTGCATAAGTGTTAGCATGCTAACCTGGTACATTAGCGACTTGACTGTTAAAAACAGCTCTGCTGTGATATGTTGAATGGCTCAATGAGATTAACCCCAATCTAAGTTAGCTGTGGTTTGCTAGCTTGGTTTCTGTTTTTAGGTAATGTGGCTCACATGATTGATTTCTGCATGTAGCCTTGACGTTAGCTTAGTGTCGTGGCTGTGTGAGCTCTCTACAACATTCACACTCAAAGTATAATAGTTGATGTGAAGCTAACTTAATGCTGATGAATACACAGGTTGTGAAATAAACCCATTGTCAGTTGTGTTCGTTTATCCTAACTTGGCTTTTATGTGTATACGTTTAGTTTCCTTTTTGAATGCTTGAGGCTCAGTAGGAAATCACCTGTCAACCCTGCTACATTTCGTCTTTCTGTGCCTCTGTGTTATAAATAGAGTTGCCAGACCCTAATCTGGGTATGGGGGCAAGTGGGACCCAAGGAAGTGGCGGGGCTGTTGTACCAAAAGGGACCAACAAAAGAAGAGCTGCGTAAGTGTTTGTGTGGTAGCGTTAACAGTGTGTTGATGTAAAGTAGTGGAAATAACCTAAATATATGTTCTCAAGTGCTGTAATCGATTACTAATTTGAGGTACTTTTCCTTTTCTTGAGTTTTTCCCTTTTTATATTTTTTCTTTGCTACATATCAGAGTAAAAAATGTTGTCGTTGCTATTTGCTTTCAGATTACAATTGTGCCCTTCCTGTCCAGCAAAAATACAAAGGATTGAACATTATTTTACAAATAAACTAAAAAACTAAAAAGTTAATATTTGCTTTAAAACCCTTATGGATCTTCTAGAAGAAGCATCGTCACAAAGCTCAAAAAAGGGCTGTTATATGAACTAATTTCACTTGAGGGAAACAGGGTTTTCATGGGATATATAACATATAATGCATTGATGTGGATGAAACTACCTAACAGTAGAGAATGTCATTTATTTTTTTAAAGTAATATAACGTAGTCTTAAATCGTAAAACACTGACGGGGCACATTTAACTGTATAATAAGGACTTTTACTTTTTATACTTTAAGTACATTTTAAGGATAAGACATACATATTTCTACTTAAGTAAGGATTTTAATGCAGGAATTGTTCTTCTATTGGATCATTTTGACAGTGGTATTTGTTGTTTCCCTTAAGAAAGGACACACCGCTGCTAATATGTCAGTATTGTGTGAGAACTTGCTGACTGGTTTAGTTTTATTTGTACTCTTGGTCAAAGTTCTTGTGAGAATATTTATGTGAAACTACTGATGTATCCCTCTTCTCCTTATTACAGGCCAGACTTTGATGACGATGATGATGATGATGGAAACAAATTGTTCAGGTACACTTCTCTCTGTTTTCCTGTCATTATAAAAAAGAAGAAGTGATAGATCAAGTGTTGGGATTGTTTGGGCTGTTTCGATAGTAAGAAACGTTTTCTCTTTTTTGTTTGTTAGGTGTGACGATGAATCAGGAGGCGGAAATGACAAAGAGCGTTTTGCCAGGTAGGGGGGGTGGGTGTAAAGGAACAACATTATTGATACAACAGTTTCCCCAGTGCCGCTCTCCCTCTCCTTTCCAATAGTTGTTAAACCCTTGCACTTATTTTTATTTTGTTATTTTTCGGGCCTGTGTTTTAGTGGGTTGGTTTCATTTCCATGTTTTTTGAAGAGCATCAGAGTTTTGCAGATAAGGAAAAACAAGCCAGGTATGGCTGTGCTACTTTGGAAGGCTCCTTCTCCTGCTTGTATCCACATCAATATTGAATGCACAAATAAGTCCTGTCCTGTCGGGACCCCATATTATCATTTAGACAGCACAAAATGAATGGTATTTTTTGCTGCTCTTTGCATCTGTTTTGGTGCCCGTCAGAATGCTTTGCTTTTTTGCCCAAAGCATCTGGCTGTGTCTGTCAGGCCAACACTGTTTTATGCGTAACTAACTGCTAAGCTGTGTGTGACTCAAGGACCTTTTTCACTTTGGTAATCCTTTCCCCTTGAGCAACTGTCCCTTCTGTCTCCTTTCTCCCTCTCTCAGGACTTCTAAATGGTCTTTCTCTTTCTGCACTTGCTCTCTTTTGTCAGACCAACTGGCTTTTCAAACCAGTCTCTCTTGCTGTCTCACTATCATTTCTTTACATAAATTATTTTATAGTTTTTTGCGTCCATTATTTCTCTCACCTTCTCTCTTTCCCTCCACTTCTTTGATTGGCATACTTGCATCGCAGCATTTGCTCTAAACTCTACTCCATGTTGTCCACCTGCCCATCTGTTTCCCCCATCTCAATCCCTCCTATCCTCTGTACCTCCTCCTTCCTCCCTCGTCTCCTCTCCTCTTCAGGGAGAACCACAGTGAGATTGAGAGGCGGCGGAGGAACAAGATGACTGCTTACATCACTGAATTGTCAGACATGGTGCCCACCTGCAGTGCACTAGCACGGAAACCAGACAAACTAACCATCCTCCGAATGGCCGTGTCTCATATGAAGTCTCTGAGAGGAAGTGGCAACACCAACTCGGATGGATCGTACAAACCTTCCTTTCTCACTGACCAGGTAAGAGCAACTGACCGAGGCAGGGAAATATAGATATTGAGAAGAAAGTCTACTAAATTGGGTTTGATTGAATTCTCATGCGGGGATCTTTAAACTTGCTGAAGGCATGTTCAGATTGTGGAGCAATTTTAGACGAGGCAGTCATTTAATACAAAGGTCTCAAAGTCCCACTGTTGTTTACACAAAACCTCTGTGAGCTCAATTGAAATCAAGTGAAAAAGCAGTTAAAGTAGCACATTGACCTTACTAGTGTAAACAACATTTGCTGTGAATCATTTCAACGTATTCACCAGTCTTTCCTCTGGGCTCTTGGTCAACATGTACATCGCTCAAAAAGGAACTTAATGAATACACAATGACTGTAATTTACTGTAAGTGAGCCTCCTGGGCTCTACACTCTCCTGGTGAGGCTCCTTGCTGAAAAGTGCATAGAAGTAACTGGTGTCACTATCATAGAGGTGGCACACATACACCCCTCTCCAGGTCCACAGTGTAAACAGCAATGACAGTGCCCATGGTTCATAGATACGGTTAGATTAGATTTAATTGTATCTTCATTGCGTACAGGTATTGAGACAACAAAATGCAGTTTAGCATTTAACCTGTAGTGCAAAACGAATAACAAATACATCCTCAAAACAAATATCCTTATAATCTGAATAAAGTGGTTAATCTGGTTAATTATACTTCTTTTTTTAAATTACATATTTTGAACAAGTTTAACTCCTCAGTTTTGTTAGATTGCTGCCAGACCATCTTGTTAATACATGTGCATTTCTCTGTTTGTGTGTGGCATGCAGGAGAGAGAAACTGGACAGTAGTTAAAAAGTTGTTTGTAAAGCAGCTGGAGGCGTTTATATTAGGGATGCACCGAATATTCGGCCGCCGAAAATTATCGGCCGAAAATGGTTAAAAAGGCCGATAATTCGAACACCGAAAAAATATCACCGAATGTCAGAGAACAGGGTTAGCTTAACAGGGGTTAGCTTAGTAAGCTAATGTGTTGTTGTGATGACGTAATCAAAACGCGGCGACAAGCACGGCGCGCGACCATGCTCGCGGCTGGCTCACAGCCAACATGTCTGGCGCTTGGAGATATTTAAAAATATCAGAGAAAGAGGCGCGGATTGCGATTTGTAAAACGTGTTCAGCTGACATTTCTCGAGGGGGTGTAACTGCAAAGACTTTCACCACTTCGGGATTACTCCACCACTTGAAATCAAAACACCCGGACAAATATGCGGAGTAAGATCAAATCACAAGCACTGACAGCGAGAGACTGTTCAGCGCTGCCTCTCATGTGCTTGATGAGAAGAGGAGCAGATTTATGGCTGATAAAGCAGAGAAGCTAATGTTCATTAAAAAGAACCTCCCACTTTTCCTTAATAAGTAGACAAGGCTGGCTTATCATAAGCTTATCTAGTTCTACATGTCTACTCTATACCCACTTTCCTGAACAATTTTCATTGTGAGTTATAATTCACCATCTCAGGTTATCATTAGGGGGAAATGACAGCAGCACAGTGTTCAATATATTGTACTTTCGGTATCTAAATGATACAATGTTGTTTACATTGCTCATGAGGACAGACCACCTTATTTGCAGATTCTTGAAATTGTAATTTAATTTGTAATTGATTGTGGATTTTGTATCCAGTTTTCACTTTATGTATCTTTATACAATGTTTACCACTTTGCTTATGAGGACAGACAGCCTTATTTACAGATTCTTGAAATTCAATTGTAATTTCATTTGTAAATAGTTACATTCATGTGGATTTATCCAGTGTGCACATTTGTATGCATGCACTTATAGGTGCATTTGTTGTTGTTGAAGGCCTGGCTGTTACAGTCTAGAAGGCCTAGATGTTTATGCAGTTTTAAAACACCTTGGCTTTGTTCTGAATGCACTTTGTTGTAGTTATCCTACAGAGAAAAGAAAATGCTGAATAAATGTTTTATGGACCCATAATAGTGAAGTTAAGTTAAGTTAAGTTAAGTTAAGTTAAGTTAAGCCATAATCATGTCTTTTTCCATAATCAGGTAGCTGAACAACATTGGTAAACAATGTATACATTATATATATATATATTTCAATTAATAATTTTCGGCCTTTCGGCTTTCGGTTTTCGGCCAACTGTTTCCTATTTTCGGTATCGGTTTCGGCCAAGAATTTCCCATTCGGTGCACCCCTAACAAAAACCTCTGGCGGTTCTAGTGTTAAGGTAATTAGGTACAGNACTTTGCTTATGAGGACAGACAGCCTTATTTACAGATTCTTGAAATTCAATTGTAATTTCATTTGTAAATAGTTACATTCATGTGGATTTATCCAGTGTGCACATTTGTATGCATGCACTTATAGGTGCATTTGTTGTTGTTGAAGGCCTGGCTGTTACAGTCTAGAAGGCCTAGATGTTTATGCAGTTTTAAAGCACCTTGGCTTTGTTCTGAATGCACTTTGTTGTAGTTATCCTACAGAGAAAAGAAAATGCACTTGACTTGGAATTAATGTACTGTATGCATTCAAAAGTGCTGAATAAATGTTTTATGGACCCATAATAGTGATTATTATTTAAGTTAAGTTTTGCCATAATCATGTCTTTTTCCATAATCAGGTAGCTGAACAACATTGGTAAAAAATGTATACATTATATATATATATTTATTTCTATTAATCATTTTCGGCCTTTCGGCATTCGGTTTTCGGCCAACTGTTTCCTATTTTCGGTATCGGTTTCGGCCAAGAATTTCTCATTCGGTGCAGCCCTAGTTTATATATATTTATATATATATAGGGATTTGGGGGTTCTAAAAGTGGGTTAATCACAAAAAATGAAATACTATCACTTTAAATTCTTACTTATGACTGGCCTGCCATCTTTCTACAGGAACTGAAGCACCTCATCCTGGAGGCAGCCGACGGCTTCCTGTTCGTGGTGTCATGTGAGACCGGCCGCATTGTTTACGTCTCTGACTCCCTGACACCTGTCCTCAACCATGCTCAGTCTGAGTGGCTGGGGTCCTCCCTGTACGACCAGCTGCACCCTGACGACACAGAGAAGCTCAGAGAGCAGCTCTCTACTGCAGAGAATAACAACACAGGTACAACGATACACTATTCATCTCAAAAGTGTTTGTCATTATAAAAAAAGTTGTTGCATGGTCACAACATTACTCCCAAAATTGAGTCCATTTTGTCTCCTCTTTGCTTTTATAGGGCGGATGTTGGACTTGAAGACAGGAACAGTGAAGAAGGAAGGCCAGCCGTCGTCCGCCAGAATGAGTATGGGAGCCCGACGATCATTCATCTGCAGAATGAGGTGTGATTCTGTTAATTATCCATTTCATTATTTCTATCAATGTGTGTGTGTAGATACATAACTGTGTGTCGGCCTGTGTGTATTTGCAGGTGTGGCTCTTATCCTGTGGAACCGTTGTCCATGAACAGACTGAACTTCCTGAGGAATAGAAACAGGTGACCAAAACTAAACAGTTTTTTTTTTGTTTATTTAATTGTGATAACTGTGCAGAATATAAGCAACCCCCATTGCCAGGAAGCAATGAGATGCACTAAGCCTAATGTATACATATGTCATAGTAACAGGACTGATTGAATTTGATGTGTATTTGATCATTTATTCCATCACCTCAGGAATGGTTTGGCTACAGCCAAGGAAGGGGAGCCCCAGTATGTAGTGGTCCACTGTACAGGGTACATCAAGTCCTGGCCTCCTTCAGGTAAAACCAGTCACTTCATGTACTTCATAATATTGCTGGGACCTGTAAAGTGATGCTTGAAAATCATTTGTATAAGTTATTCCTTGTGTTCCATGCTAATATATTTTTTTGCATGTTTTAGGAGTTTCCCTAGCTGACGATGACTCGGACAACACTCAGGGGAGTCGCTACTGTCTGGTTGCCATTGGGAGATTACAGGTATGAGGGATGCCTCGTGGGTCTATAGGCACATCTATCTGCTGTGCTTAGGAGAGTTGCATAATTCAAAGTTATTCATTATGGAAATGTAACTTTTGGTATGGATCTTTACATCTTAACTGCAGACGTGTATGCATCTTTAACAAACTGCGGGGCAAGACAATTCACCCTAAATTGCTCCTGTGGGTATTGTCCACAGTACTCAATGTATTACATGTTTTAATATATGTAATGTAAAGCGCTTAGAGCACTTGGAAAAAAGTGCTAAAAATAAATACCATGAATTTTATTTATATATATATATATATATATATATATATATATATATATATCTCAGAAAATTAGAATATTGTGATAAAGTTCTTTATTTTCTGTAATGCAATTAAAAAAATTTGTTTTTTTAATTGCATTACAGAAAATAAAGAACTTTATCACAATATTCTAATTTTCTGAGATATATATATATATATATATATATATATATATATATATATANACAAGTGCCATTAATACAGTTAACAAGTGGAGGACAGAGGAGGCTCTTAAAGAAGAAGTTACAGGTCTGTGAGAGCCAGAAATCTTGTTTGTTTGTAGGTGACCAAATACTTATTTTACAGAGGAATTTACCAATTAATTCATTAAAAATCCTACAATGTGATTTCCTGGATTCTTTCCCCCCATTCGGTCTCTCATAGTTGAAGTGTACCTAGGATGAAAATTATAGGCCTCTCTAATCTTTTTAAGTGGGATAACTTGCACAATTGGTGGCTGACTAAATACTCTTTTGCATGGCAACATTTAATGGCAGTTGCCCAAGAACATCAGCAATAAGCTTTTGAATAATTTAATTTTTTAAGGTATTTTTTGGGCCACACAAAAGGGCGAGAGACAGTTGGTAAAAACCGGAAGGGAGCATATTTTAACATTTTGGTGTTAAAGACAGAGGGTGGGAAAGATGTGCTGCAGTACAGGCAGTAAGAGGAAAAAGAAAGGTATTTTTTGAACATTAAAGCATGTAAACATGTCACAGTCGAGGCACAAAATACAATACGAACTGGAAAAGGAGCATATATGTTAAAGAAACTGCAGTGTTTGTTAAAAATAAGTTGACAAAGTTTTCTAAATGATTAAGATTTAAAATAGCCACATCCAGAAAGGCTTTTTTCTTTTGGAGCCACAAAATAAATATGTTAACACATGAATCAGACAGCCCACAACAGACATTGAGCATGAAGTGTAAAAAGGGATCAAAGAAATGAAACGTTGTGTTGTTCTTACCAGTGGATCTGTGCAAGGAGTGCCGGGTTTCTTTGGAGGAACCACTGAAACATTATAAAGGACAGATGATATTTAATAACCTGATTGTTTTCCTCCTGTAGTAGCAATTCAATCGCTATTAAAGTAGAAGGACTTACAACAGCCAACATCAATGACGTCATCGTCTTCGTCATCGTCTATCTCAATGACTTCAGAGGGCAACAGGCCCCCCCCGCCGCCCTCATCCTCAGAGCTGCTCTCTCGGTAAACAAGACCGCTCTTTTGGTAGGTTTCCTTCACAAGCTTCTCACACTCCAATATGGATCTGAGGTAAAATGTCAAACAAAAATGTATAAATTGCACACTGAACAAATGCCCACTTATTTAACCAAGGTCAGGTTTCAATAACTTATCTTCATCAGACTACAGAGTGTCGGTGAACAGTCGTCCCTGGACAATGATTCTGTTTGTGTTGATTTTATACATAATGCTTAAGTATGATAGTGTAAAGAATGTAGCACAATAACAGGGGGTGCATTGATCCATTGATATATAGTAAGTCAATAATCAAACAATCAAATATCATCTATTGCAAAGTGAAAACATATTATCATTTGATTCATTATTATCATTTTAATATACACCATGGTATACTTTGTGATGTATCGTAGTGTTGTTCAAAGTATTGCATATACTGTATCATATTGTGATGGAAAGCTGTCATTTAAACCTTTAACAAGTACCCACAAAGTACAAATGCAAACAACCAATAACATACTTAACAATAATAAACACTGCGATAAGGAACATATGTATCCTTATAGAATAAATACTGTATAAAGACTAAAACCATGATTTAAAATAATCGGACTTTGGGAAAAGGCTACGTACTTGTTGGCATCGATGAGAAGCGCGTTTGTCTTTGCCTCCTCTTCCTCTTTCTGCTCCACCCATTCCTTGAACTCTGTCAGTTGAGCATTTTTCTTCTGCACAATCTCACTGTTCTCCACAGCTTCATCAATCCACTTCTTCAGCTCATCCAGAGAAATGCCCAGCTCTTCCTCCAGATTGGGGTCCCAGCCTTCCACCTCCATTCTGAGGAGGGGAAAACAAACAGAAATAGGAAACTTAGTTATAATTGAAACCTACTTATATAGGTCTTTCCAGGTCTCACTCATTAAAGATGAATTGCACCGAAACTGTTTTTTGAAGTAATACCAGCATTCCTTTATTGCCAGCATTTTGTAACTCAATAACATAAATTTTCAGGGTGTTGGATGTTATTGTTGAAACAAGCAACAATACAAAAGTATGACATTAATGTATATGATCACCTTAAAGTAAGCATGTCTTAATATTCCTAAAAACACCTAGTCAATTAATAATTATTTGATTAAAAAATGTTCACCAGTAAGATTATTTTATCTATGATTTATCATACCCCTCTATCAATGCTAATACTGTTGCGGAAGAAACCTCTGAAGTTGGGCCGGATGCCTACACAACACTATGTTAACACTTATTTAACTTTCAAAAAATCGATTACCAGAATAAACATGAATGCATCCCTGATTTCTTTCCTGTGTATATCTGAGATGTGGAACCACATTTCACACGTGTTTACACTTCTTCCTCTCATTCATCCCGACTTCAATATGTTGTTGTAAACCCAAACAGAGAGACTGGGCTGATGTTTACTTCTATTCCCACCAAAAAACGATTGCAATACATATAGTGTAAATGAAGCCACTGCAAGAGCTGCATTTGAGCTTTGTCTTTTAACGTTTCTGGCTAGCACAACAAGGGCCGAAATCCCTTTACAACTTCCAAATATTACCTCGGTAGAGATCGAAACTGACAATTTAACATAACCACAACCTAACCGACACTTTAAATTAAATCATTCAGGTCAGCTAAATGACAACAAACTGAAGCATGATACCAGTGAGAGCAGCTCGTTAGCCTAGCATTAGCCTGCAGAAAGTGACTTCAGTTGACTGACTGCTGCAGGTCTCTGGAAACAAACGGCATTGTCTCCTCTGGAGTTCATCTAAAAAAAACACGTCAGCGGTAAACTTAATTCAGAAATAGCATTCAACACTCACCCCTCGCTGCTCTCCATCTTCTCTGCTATCTTACAATAAAGGCTCAGCTAGCTAAGGCTACCATCTAGCTTCAACAAGGAGGAGCGCAGGCTTTGCTTCACAGGCTACCCGAAGTGGGGGCGGTGCCATTGAGCGCTCTTTGTTTCCGCTCACGCGGGTTACCCAGGTACATAAAACGTGTTCTGATCTACATGACGCTGTTTCGAGAGGCGCCTAATATTCTCATGTCAGGATCGTTTTTATCCTAACTTTTAATAGTCGAGAATACTGAAATAACTTGACTGCCAACACTTTTATTAACACATTATTATTATTATTATTATTATTATTATTATTATTATTATTATTATTATTATTATGTGTGGTTCAGTCAAAAAGTAAACATAACACATAAAACCGCTTAAAGTAAAGAACAAATAATGATAGACCTCTCATAAACTAATAAGAAATATATATATTATAAGATAAGATTCCCTATCAACCCAGAGTTAGGGCTGAGTACATTTGTAACAATTTGTGCAATTATTCATCATAGGATTATATGTAATTTAATATTTTTCAACGCATGGATTTATAGGGACTGATACAAAACTGTGTTTCAGGCTGTGCCATGACTCAAACATTTTAGCATTAGGCCCATTATTTTTCATTATTTTAAACAACTAGCCTATTATTCAGCAATCACTAATATCTGTACTTTATTTCTGAGAACCCCTTAAGGGTGCACATTAAAAAATGTCTCCTCTTTTTATTTACTTTTCTTATTTTTTTTAATACTGCCTCTCTAGAAAGACCCACTTCTGACAAATTACCAACACATGTTACAAGATCAGGAATGGGTTACATTTGTCTGATGACAAGCAACTCGCATGCAAGTTTGTGCAATACCTCCAAAACATTGTGTGAGAGCATTCGGGGGGAAAAGAGAAACATCTGTTGAGCATTGTATTTCCATTAAGGAGAACGGTAAAACATCTGTGACCAATTATTCTGAAAGGGAGAGTATTTACCACTGTGTCTATTAAGAAGTGTTTCACTGCATGTAGATTCTGGTAAAATGATTAAATCACAAGTATTCTGTTGGAGTCAGCTTTTCTGTTCTCTGTCGTTTAAGTCAAGTTTGGCTGATTGTATCTCAGAATGATAATGTTTTTTGCAAAACCAAAATATTAAATCTGATTAAATGCAAAGGCTCTGACCAGAGACAATTTTTTTCAGCTGAATTGTTAATTGTATTGTTTACAGTTAAACACAACTTTACACTTTACATGTACTCATTTTGATTTTCGATATATTAGCATCTTAATATACAGACTTGCAGTCATTTATTTTTATCTCACCAGAAAGACCTGCCTGCATGAAATCATTGGTTTTTCCAATTTCAAAATTAACAGTAAAATATGTAATCATGTGAAGAATATACAGCACACATACAAGCCAAAACAACTATGCTCTGTCTTTGAGGAGTTTTCCAATTGTGAAATCATATTTTATCTTACTCATAAGCATATAAGGCACATTAAGTACATCATGTAATTTACATTGCATACTTACATTGTTTGTAGATGTTGGATAGAAATATAAAAATAATAATATATGTTGTACATTTAAGTATGAGCTATGCAAAAGTAAAACTGTAAAAAAGACAAAATTCCACTGGACTAACTCATCATAAAAGAAGCCTTAAATTAGTCTTCAGCTTCTGGCAACTCATTTTTGAAATGTATTTAGACTGCGTCATGGCATTGCTTTGTTTATATTCCGGTCAATCACTCCTGTGACTGTTCCTCCTGGTATGTGGCGGTAGAGATATTACTGTAAGGGTCGAGCACCATCTGAGCGCAGCGGACTATGGTCACCAACAAGAAGAAGCAGAGCAGGAAGAAGAAGAAGAAGGCAAACCCAAGGTCCACATCCACATCCATCCGGGACACGGGGAGCACTGGAGGGTCCATGTTGACAAATCCACCAAATAATAAATACAAGTATCTATTCCTCTGTTGCCTCATCTGTTTAATTATCTTTTGGTTGTTCAAACCATCAAAGTAGTTCCACTAACACTTCAATTATAAAAGAAAATCCATGAATGGCCAGCTCCTCTGTAGATGCTCATACAATCCATTGTGAAGGTTTTTATCTGAAAAAACAACTTTTCTTCTTTTTTGTGTCTTGGATCCTTTTCTCTTCTCCCAACACCTAATGCCCTCGTCCCAAAGACAAGATAGATTGGTGGACACACGGTGCCCCATTTGGCACTCGTGTTCTCCATCAATAGTTAATAAGGAGTTTGGTAACGATCAGGCCGTTCCTGAGATTAGAACACTGGGGCATCTCTGAGGTCTCTTCAGGAGAGTATGCTGGACAGGAGATGACACCTAACAGGAGTCACTGGATCCCCTGCACTACAAGGACACAGGACATACATGTGTTGCCTTAAACACGTTTCTAAAGTTTTATAAAGAAAATCTGGTGTGCAGATTGTGAAAGATTAAGATGCTGGCTAAACAATCCGTTTACTTCAAACATTTTGGCTGTTTCTGGACAAAAAGATCAAATAAGTAGGTTAGTGGTGAAGATGCAGAAAGAAAAACAAAAAGCTTGAGGAAGAGAAAGAGGATATGACGCCTTAGGGGCAGTCCACTTGAGAGTGGTTGGAAACTGATCCTGACCCAAAAGAATGCAGATTGCTTATATTCTGATGCCACGACAGGGACACACACTTTAAGAGTAATGTGACTCTATGCAAATAACATTGAATCTGGGTTAAAAAAATTGGATCTGAGTAAACAACCAACACAACAAGTGTGTATGTGTTGTAATGGTATCAGTGTAACAACATTTACAGCACAAGACGTCAGTCAAGTGCAACCCAAAACAGGGCAGAGTGGACACAGTAAACCTATCTTGGACCAGTATAGCATTAGTGCCATCTGTTTTCACCTCCAGGCTGTGAATGAGAAGGGAGAAGGACAAAGACGGAAACCGATCCCAGGAGATACAAACGGATCTCTACCGTCTTCACCAATAAACAGAATGGGGAAAACAGATACAGGCCAATCAAAGCATGTTGGTTTTTGTTTCTTCATCAATTGAGAACTTAAAACTGTTTCAAGGAAGCGAATACATGCAGGGTTGTAACTGAAAACAGCCATGACTCTTGCATGAGTGTGATCAGTGTAGTGCATGGCTGAAGCGGCTATGGACAAGCCTGGAAATATATACAAGTTAGTAATTAAGGATTAAATGATGCGGATTAACCATGACCTACCACTGAGTGCACAGTCCAAAACAGAGTCAAACATCTTCATTTCAACAATTTAATACAAAAAAGACAAACTCATTCTCTCTCGTTTAACATTTCATATACATTGTATTTATATATTTGTGTTTCTATGAGTGATAAAAGTTCACATCATTGGAAAAAACAACCTGGATGCAGAGCAAACAATAACAAAGACAACACAGTCCATCTTCTCCAAGATGAACACTGGACAATAATCAACATGGGTTTACATACAAGTCATTTGTCAAAAAGTGTGCGAGTGTTCCACACAGACAATGGAAACATGTAATAAAAAGGGTCAAATTGAAACTCTTCCCACATATTAAAAATCTAAATATTTTTTAGAAGCATCGTCTTTCACCCAAAAACATTCTATATTACAAACTTTCCCACAAAAAAATGATTGTATAACACAGACGGTCGGATCCAAATGTTTCTCACAAACTAGAGGACAACATAAACGTTTTGGGCGTTCACACTTGTAGATCGGATTGGTTTTAGTTATGTTCATTCCATTTTAATCCTGAAGACCCTGATCAAACCTTTAATTAAATACCAATCAGAATAAGGCAATGCAGACGTCAAGAGATCACAAGTTTCAAAAATAACAAGAAAATACTCAGGAAGCATTTCAATTAAATCAGACATTTCTACCACATCTCTTCATTTTAAAATCATCAAGGAAAACAGTTATGACAACAAATAAAGAATGGCTTTAAAGATACACAATTCCTGCTTGTTAATCATTGCTGTGACATTTCTTTCTTTATGTCTATTTTACAAAAGGAGTAAAAAGAAAAAGCCCATACTTGGTACAGGGTAATGCAGAGCGAAAGAAAGAAGAATATGAAGCAAGTCAGAAACCCTACAACTGTGTTATAGTTGATATTGATCCTGTACGCATCAATGCTACATACATACACACATGCAAACTGTATACATGTTAAAGTCGGCAAGGAAAAGTAGATTGTATACATTTCCAAAGAGCACCTAGACAAACAGTGAGGAGCCATTGTCACACTGTGTCTGTTGTTGTTGTTGTTGAAGGACATCATTCAATGAAGAAAAACCTCACGTGTTCCTCAAGAGGATAGACTATATATTTAAAATGTAAAGGTGAAGCCACCAATGTGCATATAAAACTGTACTCAGTATACATCTACACATTGTAGAATCGCTCCATGAAAGCGGTGCAGAGACATGCAAAGTCATGCTGTGGAGTTCAAACTGTGAGTCGGGTTGGCACAGACAGTGGTGGTTTGCGTGCAACAGCTGAGATATTACAAAAATAAAATAAATCACCAAAGCTGTATATCCCTGCAATTTCCTGAGAGTTTAAATCAATGATTACATCGATTAGTCTAAATGCTAAATGGTAAAACAGCAAAAAACACCAGTCATCAAAGCCTGAGAAAATCTAGAACATCTAAAAGGCAGGCTGGTTGGGGGGTGTGTGTGTGTGTGTGTGTGTGTGTGTGTGTGTGTGTGTGTGTGTGTGTGTGTGTGTGTGTGTGTGTGTGTGTGTTCAAGCGTGGTTGGGTGATTTTGCATTTTTATATATTTATGTTTTATATATATTTATATTTATCTCACATATCTACAACATAGGCTGTTGACCTTTGGGCAGTGCTAGCTAGAGAATTCTCCTTCAATGGCTGGAATATTATCTTTTTGTCTGTGAATTTCCTCCCCTTGATATCTGCAGTCAGATATATCCCTCCGTCTTTAACTGGCTTGTGGCAGTGCGATTTAAGCCATGCAAAGCAAGGGGAGAGTGCTACTCGCAGCAGCAGGAAGAAAAGCGGAGCAGAAGAGCAATAAGAGCTATGTCATATAAAAGCTAGTGAGGGCAAAATCACTCAAGAGGACAAAGGGGTAGACCGGCGGATAAGTGTGGAGCAGGTCACTGGTCGAACGAAGGGTAGATAGGGATCTCAAAGTCATCGCCGTTGAAGTTGGTCGGCTGGTCCAGCATAGACAACACATCCTGAATCAGATTAAAGAGATAAAGAGACTCATTTTAAGTGACAGAGAGACTTAATGATGCTCGAGAGAGAGAGAGAGAGAGAGAGAGAGAGAGAGAGAGAGAGAAAGCCTGTTCACTCACAGGAAACATGTCTTGCTGGTTGCCCTGAGCATGAGGATGCTGCTCTGCATTACTCTGCGAGAGCTGATGGCCCGGCCACTGGGGCCACACTGCCTCCGCCGCCCGGGGGGGGAACTGAGCCCCAGACTGAGCGCCATCTGGGATAAAGCACAGAGCCGTGAGAGGACGCACCAGAATACTCAGAATCAAAAATGGTGTTACATTAACCTACCATAACCATTGGTGTTGAGGTTGGCACGCGCATTCATGGGCGGGTAGTTTCCATTGATGGTGGGGGTGGGAGCAGCTCCTGTGGGCATCTGGCCAAAAGAGTTGGAAGAGCCACTGCCATATCCTCCCATGGGAGCAAACTGCGGAGACATGATCTTTGGTGCCTGGGGCGCCACCTGCTGGTAAAACAGGAAGAGTCACATACTCATGTGTAGATAGACAGTGGTGGAAGAAGTGCACAGATTACTTCAAAGTATCAATATAGCAAAAGGAGAGGCTGGAACAATAAAGTAGTATTAAAATGGGGACTACGTTAGTAAAGTAAAAGCATGTGAAAGTTGTGCTTAAGTACTTTTGAAAAGGTACTTTTCTCGATAGATAGGTTGGATGCTAAATAAAAAAGTGAGCTTGGTTACATGGATAAACACATACAAGGATCACTATAAAGAAGTATCTCTAGTTGTATTTATTTGGCAATAAAGATTGATTAAAAAGCAAAACAAAGTTAAATAGTAGATCTTTCTTACCTGGTTATTAAACTGTGCTTGTGGTCTGACTCCAGCGGCCGCACCAGGCCAGCCTCCTGCTGGGCCCCCATGCATGGGGCTGTTGGTGCTGGAGGGGGTCACCGACTGAGGGACTCCGTTCTGACGGGACATCTGAGCGAGCATCTGCCCCGCCGAGTGTGCTGGCTGCGCCATCTGTGGGGCCATGGGGACCGGCCTGCAGACAACAGGGAGGGGACGAAGAGCTCCGTTACCTGGCTGTCAGTTACTAAGACCATGTGTACCATATGAAGGGTTATTATTTAATACATAACAATACTCTTAGCTAGGCAAAACAACTGTCATCGAGGAAAAAAGCTCACCGCCCAATTATTATTGCTATTATTGTTGTTGTTGCTATAATGCAGGGGCATTCAATTGCATTTCAAAGAGGTCCAGTAACAGAACATGTCACTAAATGCTGTTTTCGCTCCGTCTACCTTTCTCTTTTTTGAGCACGGCATTTGAAATGACTCCGACTGTTACTCTCTTCTTGTCTCGTCTCTGTGTTTGAGTCTATCGTGCTGACTCACTGACTGCACCGATTTGATTGGCTGAGTAGCGTCACCTCCTTAAAACATTAAACAATAACTTTTTAAAACCTTTTTATCTTTATCACTTAAAAAAAAATGTTGTACCATCGTGGATAAATCCTTATATGCTCCCGGCAACACACTGAACGTCCACTCTGCCTCCTTATTACACTCACCCCTACTTTAGTGGGAACAATGAATCTGCGTCTTTGATGCGCACATGCGGATGATGCGGATGATGCAATGTAGATCATCCTCTGGCTGCAGCCTTGACCGCTACTTGCTTTTGATCAAAGTAAGTATTAATACAATTAAAATAAAGGGCGGTGTCGGCTGTCAGCGAACCGAGCCAGCCGTCAACGGCCCGCTGACGACCGGCCGTTCTGTGATTCTCCAGAACACACAGATGGCCAGTCCGCCCCTGCCAGGACCGGTCCATGAAAATCCTAGCTTCAAATAATCGTGATCATACTTCCTCCGTTTTCTGCCAGACGCTGTCTCCTCTCTCACTTTAGGTAACTTCACTAAAAATCGATCCATGTTGCCGCTCGCATAAAGTTAAGCGAAGTTAACTAGCTAGATTTCACTGTTTGTCGTTATTTTTGTCTCACGCTGCGCCTCCCCTGAAGCTCTCTTGAGCCCCCACGGGGAGGCGCGCCTCACACTTTGAAAACCGCTGGGATAGAGTATCACCAAACATAATATTGAGATACTTAAGTGATGTAGCTCTGTTCAAATAAACATAGAAACCACTTCCTCACCCCCCGCAAAATGTATAAAACAAATAAGAAAGGTTGATGTAACAGCGAGAAACACTAAAAACACATGTGCTTACAGGAATACATCCTGATGAAATCATCATCACTGTCATGCAGCATCTGGGCCGGCTTAAAGCACATGTTGGAAGCCTTTGTTCTCCGATACCCTTCCTTTATATACTGAGCGTTCCCATGGGCCCTGACAGGCTATTATACATTAAGGTGTTCCTGCTATATTTGCTTTGATAGGCAAAACCTTCAGACATGCAAATCAGTGGATAGGTTACATAAATCCATCAGTTCATATCATCTCAGTACAGCGAGGAACTGCTCTGAATATTCATGTAGTTTACAGTAGATAACAATTAAGTGCTTTAACATGATAAAAATAGACGGAAATGCTATTACATAACCATTTTAATAATTGATCAAGCAAAAATGGCAGAAAATGTAAATATGGACATTTCCTGATTTCCTTGGTTTTATATACAATTAAATTAAAACAAAATTAAACTATCCCTGGGTTTTGGACTGGCATAACAAGAGATCTGGACTTTGAGAAAATAGAAGCACATTTTTATATCCTGACATTTTATAAAACCAAATAATGAATTATAATAATCAGCACAATGAGTTGATGTCGCAGCCCTAATCCTATTATCTTCAGCTGTTAACTTGAGTATATTATTTGACAAAATCACTGTTATCTCCAAGAAATAACCTCATTAAGTCAGATCTCAAGACAACACGATAACAAGCTTCTGGTTTCTGTGCCATGTAGTTTGGTGTGGTAAAAGACGGTCTGAAAGAGCTACACAATGTATCAGATGACTTTTTAGTCTGCAGGAAAACACTTACACAGGCATGTAAAACACAAGAAGACTTCCTACCTGTATGCATCATTGGAACGACCAGCAGCAAAGTTATTGGCTGCTGGGTAGATCTGTGTGGCGGGGGTGGAGGTGGAGGGCAGGCCCTTGGTCTGATCGGGGCCTTGGAAGAGAGAGGGGTACAGCTCAGGCTTCTCCAGGCTATTGCTGTGGGCGGGCCGCGCTGCTATCACCGGCGGCACCGGCATCTGATGACCACCAGAAACACTCAGTCAGGGGTCACTCTCTTTAAAACTCTCTAAGTGGGGAAACATTGGCCCGTCTGAAATGTTGATATTGATCTTAGTTCCTAAATGAACAAAGGCATGAACACAGAGTTAAATACAATTAGGAAATCTTCGAGGCTTAAAAGCTCTATAACAAAGTATAACTAAGGGTTAGCTGAGGTCGAGCATGAACAACAGGAAGTCAGTTGTGATAATGGGTCTCCCCCGACATCCGTTTGTGTTTTCCTGCTGAACAAACAATCAACATCCTGCAACCGTTTTCATAAGAATGCCTGACCGGTCATTTCAGCAAAATCCTGAAGATCTATGCTCGGATCAAACTGCACAAGTACATTCATGTGTCACCCATGGGTGCATGGCCTAACCTGTGAGAGGGCGATCGCTCCGGCCTCATACAGACCGTCTCTGGCTCCGCCTCCTTCCAGCTCCGCCTGCTGCTGCTGCTGCTGTAGCTGCCTGAAAAGGGAAAACAGAGAGAGAGTGGGTCTAAAATAGCCTCATTTCCATTTTCAAGCCCCTCCACTGTTGAGTGAGAAAGCCCAAACACCTGCTGTCAAAATAGCACCGCCACCGGTCACCATGGCAACATAAAAGAGAACGAGGAGAGAAGAGGAAGACAGGGACACAAAAGGCCTGTTATACAAACACGTAGCGCTAACATGCTACACCAGCTGTGTTCAAACCTCCATATTATCTACCAACTATTACACATGCTTCCCATCAGAGAACAGCACTATTATTTTAGAGATGCACCGACTGCTATTTTCTTCGCCGAAGTCTTGCACATTTTTTCTTCCTTCTTTCTATTTGAGAAACAACCAAAAATGGAATGTCTGCCAAGTGGTACCACAATACATGTCCTTCTTGTTTTTAAGGTTGTTAGTCCACAGCTTTTTTTGGACTTGCGTGTGTTAAATTGTGAGCTTTATTTATTCTTCACTCGTGCTGAAGTAGTTCCACACAGACGAGATGTTGTCAGTGTGGCTGTGATGTTACTGTCTGTCTGTGTGTGTCGCTGTGTGTGTGTGTGTGACGTAAAACCATCACGCAGCACAAATTCATCGGACAATCTATCGGAGCATCTCTACTATCTTCGTACTACTACATGGGGAACAGAGACAAACGAGAAGAATCACCCAGAGTGGAAAAGGAAACAAATACAGAGGCAGTGTAGCTTGCTCTAAACAGCAGTTGTGTCGCAGGAAGAAGCAGCCCCTGTTCTCCCATGCAGGGGGGGTAGTCAGGCCTGGTCTCACCTGCCGGCCATGTGCCCCGGACTGAGCATTACAGGAGGGCAGCTCGGGCTGCCCTGACCCAGGGAGGGGGGCAGCAAACCCCCTGGGGAGGAGATGGGAGTGAGGGGGTCCTGAGTCGAGGTTTTTCTAATGGCCACAAATCATGATGGGCAGAGGAGGGGGGGGGGGGGGGGAGAGGGGTCAGTGTGTGGCTTATTAAAGGGGTTGTGGTAATGGCGTGAGAGGAAGTGGGGATCGAGGGTAACAGGGAAGCATTCAGACAGAGGGATCTTACACAACAGTGACATTTGAAAACGTCAATGGTTTCATTATGGACTGTATTTAATTGTGTAATAATGTTACACAATCAGCAATATTGATAAAATCAGCGTGTGACTCACTTGACATTAACATTGGTGCAGATGATATACTCAATCTCCTCTGAGAACGGGTTCTGGAAGGTGAAGAAGCTGGTTCTCATCAGGTTCCACTCTCTGGATTTGGAGCGAAACCGAAACATGACTGACAGGACCTGGCCCTTTAGCTTCACCACCTGCGGACACAGCAATCACAACAAGCAGTCACAATCTGGGGTTTTCATTGAGCATATCCTTCATTTTCATCTCGCATTACTCAAGTTTTACTGCAGGAACATTTGTGTTTATTCAAGTGGCATAATTCATCTGGTTCACTACAGCGGAGCTAATGCTTTTGTTTAAGCTGAAGACTGAAGTAGTTTTTGTCATGTCAATTTAAATAACTGCATTCTTTCAAACACCCACAGAAACAGAAGGGATGTTCAGATTCACCAGGGAACTACAAAAGAGAACTAAAGGCCATTTACTTAGTCATTTTAAATCTGACTTCTAATGTATCTACATACAATGCTGACAAATGTAGTCATATTTTCTTTAATCCTTTTAAGTGCTTGTACATGTGATAGTACAAACACAAAAGAAAACTGAAATTAGAATCGAGTCCTCGAAAAGCTGAACATATTTAGTCAGTTCTACCTGTTGGAAGCCGTCTCGCAGTAAGCCCTGGTCTTCAGCGTGGGCGAAATCCAGAATACTCTTCCCCAATAATTCCTGCAACACGCAGCAGAAGAAAAAAAACACCATTAGCACAAAGGTTGTTGGAGGATGCATTCCCTCCCTGACATTTCCTCCGGCTGAGTGTTACCTGGGGCTGGTAGCCGACAGCGGCTAAGCAGCGGTGATCCACGAAGGTGAACATGCCCTGACAGTTATGGCGCGAGATGAACTCCACCGGAACACTGAGGCTGTTGACGTCTGTGTCACCCGGGCAACAAGTCACCTTAAGGAAAAAAGAAAATGAAAAACTGCATTAGCATTATGACCAAAAGGATGCAAGCTACCAGATACTATATATATATATACAGGACTGTCTCAGAAAATTAGAATATTGTGATAAAGTTCTTTATTTTCTGTAATGCAATTAAAAAAACAAAAATGTCATACATTCTGGATTCATTACAAATCACCTGAAATATTGCAAGCTTTTATATTTTTAATATTCGCCTGAGTTATGGCATACCAGCTGTAAGAAAACTCAAAAGCCTATCT